TGTTTCCAATGGAGCTCATTAGTTTGGGGAAAGGAAATATTTGTTGTTGTATTTTTATTTTTTTTGTCACTGAAGGCACAAAGGCGTTCTGATGAGGCGGGGAGTGAACGATTGCAGGCTAATTAGTGCACGGCTCTGTTGTGTGTTAGCAGCATGGCGACTTTCCCCGTTAATGAGCCGCTCGCGCTGATGTCACCTTGTGATTCTAACTTTATGTGGTTCTTTGGGTATTTATAAGTTTTACTTTTATATAGGTAAAATCTGCTTTCTAAATGATTGCTAGCATGTTGGTTAAAAAATACTTAGAACTGTTTAGCATTGAGCTGAATTCTGATCAGAACACTTTAATTAATTTTTTTTTCAATTCACCCTTATTTGTATAGCGCTTTTACAACGTAGGTTGTGACAAAGCAGCTTCACATAAAAGATCATAGTAAATTAAAACAGTGTAGTTCAGTTTTCAGAGTTTCAGTTCAGTTCAGTTTATCTCAGTTCAGTGTGGTTTAATAATCACTACTGAGAGTCCAAACACTGAAGAGGAAATCCATCGATTTACGGCTCTACAGAAATTATCCCGAAATTATGCAAGCCAGTGGCGACAGCGGTGAGGAAAAAACTTCACCAATTAGCGAAAGTGAAGCATTAAAAATTCTCGAGAGAAACCAGGCTCAGTTGAGCACGACTATTTTTTCTCTGGCCATATTTCTTGTGCTGAGCTGCAGTCTAGGCACCGGAGGCTGGAAGCTGGACCTCAGCAAAGACTCGTCTGTCCCTGAAGCGTCACTGTAATCAGTCTCATGCTCTCCACTCCTCCATGACCACCACAGCATCTGCTCAGGATACGGCCTGGCCCAGCATATGGAAACCTTGGGATCATCTTGTCGCTGGTCTTGGATCAAATCAGTGGCACTGCATAGTCTAAGGGCCTCTGGATGAGTATCCCCTGAAGGAAATAGAGAACAAAAAGAATAATTAGCGTAGATGCTGTTCATAGTGTATATAAACAAGATGCAGAAACCTGCGTGGAGCACATTCATGTATCATACCGCTTAAAAGATAGGTCTTTAATCTAGTTTTGAATTAGTAGAGTGTGTCTGAGCCTCGGACATTATCAGGAAGGCTATTCCAGAGTTTAGGAGCCATAAATAAGAAGGCTCGACCTCCTTTACTCGACTATTCTAGGTACTACGAAAAGCCTTTAGTTTTGAGATCTTAAAGAGCGGATGGGATTGTAATGAGACAGAAGCTTGGTTAAATAAACAGGAGCTAGATTATATAATGTTTTATAGGTAAGACGCAATATTTTAAATTCAATACGAAACCTAACAGACAGCCAGTGTAAGGAGGATAAAATTGGGGTGCTATGATCATATTTTTTAGACCTGGTAAGAACTCTGGCTGCTGCATTTTCTACTAGCTGAAGTTTGTTAATAGAAAATGCTGGGCAGCCAGAAAACAGAGCATTACAGTAATCCAACCTAAAAATCATAAAATCATGGACTAGCTTTTCTGCATCTGAGATGGATAGCATACTTTGTAATTTACTGATATTTAAACTACTGAAGGCAGTTTTTGTCACATGGGATAAATGATTTTCAAAAGTTAAATTGCTGTCTAATATGACACCCAGATCTTTTATAGCAGAGCTAACGCTAACTTTGTATCCCTCTAATTGTAGGTTGAGTTGTGAGATCTGCTGTGTACAGGATTTAGGCCCAATAAGTAATGATTTTGTTTTGTCTGAGTTTATGAGAAGAAAATTATTGGTCATAGCCACATGCTAATTGAGACCAGAAACAGGATAGCAAAGTCCCAATTCATGTATGTTAATAAAAAGCTATTCATAAGAAAAGCATGTTAACAATATGCTATTTCATTTAACAACTGAACAAGCATGACAATTCAATTTGCACAAGCTAATTCAAACTAAACAAATGTTAACAAGTAATTTATGCTAAATATGTAGTGATCAAAACTTGTTAATTCATAGGCCTTTTAGCAAAATACTAATACTATTGCTAATTCATGCTTTTAATGGAATGTATTGATTTATGTTGGAATAATGCAAGCGACATCCTAAATTGTGTAAAAACATTTTAGAAATGTGCTAATTCATGCTAGTAACATGATAGCAACATGCTAATTCATACTAAAACATGGTAGTAACATGTTAATTCATGCTAGAAACATGCAAATTCAGCTTTGCCGTCAAACTCACCTATATAATGCTAAAAGCTATTTTTTATTTTGTCAAATTGTTCTGTGTTTTAAATGGAAATGTAAGCTAAGAGTATTTCAATTCAATTCAGATTTATTTGTATAGCACTTTTACAATGTAGATTGTGTCAGCAGCTTCACGTAATAGTAACTGGATCAGGGTAGTTTAGTTTTTAGTTTTTAGGTTCAGTTCAGTTTAGCTCAGTTCAGTGTGGTTTAAAATCATTACTGAGAGTCCAAACACTGAAGAGCAAATCCATCGATGACTGTGTGACAGTATGATGACTTACTTCTAGAACAGCCTTTATTATGGTATATTTTGCCTTTCACTTAAATGGGCAAAAGCTAGATATTGTAGCATGGCTTGTTGACATCACCAGAAAAGTAAAAGTTGGTCATTTAATTAAATTTAGTTTAATTAAAATACTGTTAACTTATCCAGCATATGTTTTTACACACCGGCTTTATTTTATTTTATTTTATTTTATTTTATTTTATTTTATTTTATTTTATTTTATTTTATTTTATTTTATTTTATTTTATTTTAACACCATTTTCCATTTAGTAATTATTTTAATTATATTTTATTTTATTAAACAATTTTTATATGTAAAGCATTTATTTTATTTTATCTTTTAAAAAGTATTTTTTTAATGTATATTAAGCATTTATTTTTGTTTATTGGGTATTTTTTATCAACATTAACATCCAACAGAGCAAGTACTAATTAATAGTAATACTCTATAAAGTGTAAAGACGTGTATGTAGTCTTTTCAGTTGAAGCTATGTCAGAGACAAAGGCCACAGGATCATCAATAACATCTGACTAGATTTTCTTCAGTCTGTCTAGACACATCTAGCATGTTGAACAGGTTTTCTCTTCCATCACCCAAGGCTGCAGGAGTAGAGTATAAACCGAACGGCACACTGCAATTTATTCATCATCTCACACTTAATATAATGAACAGCTCTTCTTTTTCAGCGAGAAATGAAATGCATTTCACATTGAATAATTTAATCAGAACGTTGGAGGCCTCTTTTATGGATTCATAGTTTTAGTCGGAGAAACAGGATAAACAGTCACGGCACATTATTCAGACTGCAAAAGCAAAAAAATAAATTAAATAAAAAATACCAGCCAGTCAGTTTTACTAGTGAAACTCCTGAAATCCTGCTTTTACTGTCATTGAAGTTGTTTGTTTTATGGCTTTTTCTGCACAGTGCTGCAAATTGGGAATTATTAGATAACTTCAGCCTTTCCAAAACGAGTAAACACAACATACCTTTGTGGATAAGAAATATGGAGGCTTTAATTGAATAAAAGCTCTAAAAGCATACCTTGAATTCAGCTTCCCTTATTATTTAGTTAATCCTATTCATCACGGAGACGACTTATTTTAGAGCAAAAACTTCAGCAGTTCCTGAATCTAAATGCTAAAATCTCAATAATTCATTCATTCATTCATTCATTCATTCATTCATTCATTCATTCATTTATTATTATTTGTGTTTTGCAAAAACTATTTATCATAATAAAGATGCACTTTTCTAAATAATTAAATTAAACAAATTGTAGTGGGATCAAACAAATATATATTACTCACAGTCCACTATCTATCTATCTATCTATCTATCTATCTATCTATCTATCTATCTATCTATCTATCTATCTATCTATCTATCTATCTATCTATCTATCTATCTATCTATCTATCTATCTATCTATCTATCTATCTATCTATCTATCTATCTATCCATCCATCTACCTACCTACCTACCTACCTACCTACCTACCCACCCACCCACCCACCTATCCACCCACTTACCCATCCACCCACCTTTTTACCCAGCCATTTATCCATCCATCCATCCATCCATCCATCCATCCATCCATCCATCCATCCATCCATCCATCCATCCATCCATCTAAAATCTATAAAAATATATAAATAATCTATAAATCTATAAAAAAGGGAAATTTTGTGCTGTTCACTTCTATGTGTGACGATAGTTGTCTATTAAAATAGATGTTTAGCTTTACATTAGGATATATGCAGATAAAAAAACGCCTATTTTGAACTACTTCAGAACAATTTTTTTTACAAATATCTGCAATCTATGAATTCAGAACCAAAAAAATCTGAAGATTGAAATTACGTGTATAAAATTCTGACTTAAAAACATTCAGTCTTAAATTTCAGATGTTTTTATATTCAAGTTAAGAAATTCGCACAATTTAAATTCTGATTGTTTTGGCATATTATTAGCTCCATACTTGTTTCCACCACAGTCCAAAGACATGCGCTACAGGTGAATTGAATAAGTTAAACTGGCCGTAGTGTATGTGTGTGAATGCAAACGTGTATGGGTTTCCCAGGGCTGGGTTCAGGCTGGAAGGCCATCTGCTGCATAAAATATATGCTAATAAGGTGGCAGTTCATTCCGCTGTGGCGACCCCTGATAAAAGGGACTAAGCCGAAAAGAAAGATAATGAATGAATAGATGAATGAATATATCATATTACACATTTCCTATGATTTCTACTAAATAAAATAAAACGAAATGATAAATCTAATGTGGTTATAGTATTGTGAAAGTACTGTACAATTACAATGCATTTCCAAACATTAATTTATTTGAGTTGTGAGAAAATGCAGCACGTTTTCTTAATGTGTATGCATTGTGAGGATTTGCAACATGTGGTCTGTCAAACAGATAAAGATATATATTTTTTAATTTTCTGGCATTTTTTTGGTAATTGCATGTGTTTTCTTGAATTCCAGCATGTCAAGCTCTAGGCCACTGCACCATTATACAAGATCTACATTGCAAGTACAGATGCCAGCCAAATATGCTCTTGCCCAGTGAGTGTGAATGGTCATAAATGTGTTTTAAATTGTGTAGTGTTGATGGAGATATCAGACTTTCTTTTTTTTTTTTTTTCTGAAACACAACAAAAAGTCACTCTTTACATGCTAAAACATTAGAAAGCAAATTAGTATAATATGGCACCTAGTCTACTAAAGCCACACAGTATCTTTTCATGAGGAGCAGGCTGGGATTTTAAGCTTCTCAAACTGTGCTTTGAATCCTGTAAAAGATTTACAGTGAGAATGAGCTCCTATTTTTTTATTTTAACCACCTTCTGATATTCTTTGCACTGTATGTTAGCATAGATAGCAGAGTCTGCTCTGTTGTGATGCTCTACTGTCACTGCTAATGAGGCTGGAAAAATTAGTAGAGCTTCAGTCTTGATTTTAATTGGTTCTCGTGAAAAGAATGTGTGTGTGAGTGTATTTTGTTTTCTTTCGAATTTCGAACAGTGCTTGTTTTCACTTTGAAAGTTGTCATCTGAACTAGTTTTAGTTTTTATGAAGCCTTTACTTTAATTGTAGAGCTTTGGCCAAAAAATAATAATAATAATAATAATAAATAAATCAAAAATCAAGAAATAATTTCTGCATCGATTGTGAGATTTTAAAAATCCATCACTATTCTCTTTTGAAATAATTTTGAGCTTAGTCTTTAACCCTTTCACTCATAAGGTATTCCCACTGACCTCATGCATGCATTTTTTTTATGTGATCAGTATTTAGAATGCATTGCTTTAATGTTTTTAAAACAACTTGTCAAGTTTATCAGATTCTGTTGATTTATGGATTTGTATTTGAATACAAATGATGATAATGATCATATTATTCGATCTATAATGGGTGATGGGCACTTCATGTTTGTGGGATCAGAGCTGCTGGATCACTAAAAAACTTGCCTAGAGCACAATATGCAGTTAAAAACTTGCATAGAGCACTATCTGTTGTTAAAAACTAGCATAAAGCATCATCTGCTGCTAAAAGTTAGCATAGATTACTATATCCTGTTTAAAAATAACATAGATCATCATGTGCTGTTACAAGCTGACAGAGCACTGTTTGTTGTTAAAAATTAGCATAGAGCACTATCTGCTGCTAAAAACTAGCATAGAGGACTACTTGCTGTTAAAAAAATAGCGTGAAGCACGATCTGCTGCTAAAAGTTAGCATAGAACACCATTTGTTGTTAAAACGTAGCATAGAACACTATTTGTTGTAAAACACTAGCATAGAGCACTATCTGCTGTTAAACACTAGCATAGAGCACTATCTGCTGTTAAACACAAGCATACAGCACTGTCTGCTGTTAAACTCTAGCATAAATCACAATCTGCTGTTAAACACTAGCATAGAGCACTGTCTGCTGTTAAACACTAGCATAGAGCACTGTCCAATGTTAAACACTAGCATAGAGCACTGTCTGCTGTTAAACACTAGCATAGAGCACTGTCTGTTGTTAAACACTAGCATAGAGCAATATCTGCTGTTAAACACTAGCATAGAGCACTGTCTGCTGTTAAACACCAGCATAGTGCAATGTTCATTGTTAAACACTAGCATAGAGCACTATCTGCTGTTAAACACTAGCGTAGAGCACTGTCTGCTGTTAAACACTAGCATAGAGCACTGTCTGCTGTTAAACACTAGCATAGAGCACTATCTGCTGTTAAACACTAGCATAGAGCACTTTCTGCTGTTAAATACCAGCATAGCGCACTGTTCATTGTTGAACACTAGCATAGAGCACTGTCTGCTGTTAAACACTAGCATAGAGCACTATCTGCTGTTAAACACTAGCATAGAGCACTATCTGCTGTTAAACACTAGCATAGAGCACTGTTTGCTGTTAAACACTAGCATAGAGCACTCTCTGCTGTTAAACACTAGCATAGAGCACTGTCCGCTGTTAAACACTAGCATAGAGCACTATCTGCTGTTAAACACTAGCATAGAGCACTGTCTGCTGTTAAACACTAGCATAGAGCACTATCTGCTGTTAAACACTAGCATAGAGCACTATCTGCTGTTAAACACCAGCATAAATCACTATCTGCTGTTAAACATCAGCATAGCGCACTGTTCACTGTTAAACACTAGCATAGAGCACTATCTGCTGTTAAACACTAGCGTATAGCACTGTTTGCTGTTAAACACTAGCATAGAGCACTATCTGCTGTTAAACACTAGCATAGAGCACTATCTGCTGTTAAACACTAGCATAGAGCACTGTTTGCTGTTAAACACTAGCATAGAGCACTCTCTGCTGTTAAACACTAGCATAGAGCACTGTCCGCTGTTAAACACTAGCATAGAGCACTATCTGCTGTTAAACACTAGCATAGAGCACTGTCTGCTGTTAAACACTAGCATAGAGCACTATCTGCTGTTAAACACTAGCATAGAGCACTATCTGCTGTTAAACACCAGCATAAATCACTATCTGCTGTTAAACATCAGCATAGCGCACTGTTCACTGTTAAACACTAGCATAGAGCACTATCTGCTGTTAAACACTAGCGTATAGCACTGTTTGCTGTTAAACACTAGCATAGAGCACTGTCTGCTGTTAAACACTAGCATAGAGCACTATCTGCTGTTAAACACTAGCATAGAGCACTATCTGCTGTTAAACACCTGCATAACGCACTGTTCATTGTTAAACACTAGCATAGAGCACTGTTTGCTGTTAAACACTAGCATAGAGCACTGTCTGCTGTTAAACACTAGCATATAGCACTGTTTGCTGTTAAACACTAGCATAGACCACTGTCTGCTGTTAAACACTAGCATAGAGCATTATCTGCTGTTAAACACTAGCATAGAGCACTATCTGCTGTTAAACACCTGCATAACGCACTGTTCATTGTTAAACACTAGCATAGAGCACTGTTTGCTGTTAAACACTAGCATAGAGCACTGTCTGCTGTTAACACTAGCATAGAGCACTATCTGCTGTTAAACACAAGCATAGAGCACTGTCTGCTGTTAAACACTAGCATAGAGCACTGTCTGCTGTTAAACTAGCATAAAGCACTGTCTGCTGTTAAACACTAGCATAGAGCACTTTCTGCGGTTAAACACTAGCATAGAGCACTGTCCGCTGTTAAACACTAGCATAGAGCACTGTTTGCTGTTAAACGCTAGCATAGAGCACTATCTGCTGTTAAACACTAGCATAGAGCACTATCTGCTGTTAAACACCAGCGTAGCGCACTGTTCATTGTTAAACACTAGCATAGAGCACTCTCCGCTGTTAAACACTAGCATAAAGCACTATCTGCTGTTAAACACTAGCATAGAGCACTGTTTGCTGTTAAACACTAGCATAGAGCACTGTCTGCTGTTAAACACTAGCATAGAGCACTATCTGCTGTTAAACACCAGCATAGCGCACTGTTCATTGTTTAACACTAGTATAGAGCACTGTCTGCTGTTAAACACTAGCATAGAGCACTGTCTGCTGTTAAACACTAAGCTCAGAATTGCTTCAATAGAGAATAGCGATTCTTCTTGAAAATCCCAGAATCAATGCCGAATCGATTTTCCAAATAATTAATTAGGAACAGCTGTACAGTATTTAACATGTTGAGTCAATAGTCCAAGTGTGTTTCACTAGTTTTAGACTATGCATTCAGATAAGGGTGTGTGAGAGTGTGAGTGAGAGAGAGGCTACTCTCTATCTAAAAACGCCAATATCATAACATATATTTTTAATAGCTGTAAACAATACATCTACAGTGGGACAAATGCAGGAGTCAGATATATATTACCTGTAGAGTTTATGTTCTGTGTTTTTATTTCTCAAAAATGACAATTCAGGCAATGCTGTGGGGCATTTTATATATTTCATAGTTCTGTATGAACTATAAGTTATGCATGTATGCATCCATAATTCCAATAAAATAACCTATAATACAGAGAAGATTATCAGATTCTGAAAAACTCAGACCAGACTTACTTTTTTATTAGAGTAAAAAATATAAATAATAATAAATAAATAAAATAATCACAATAATAATAAGTTCCAATGCGCACAGTGGCCTCCATCATCTGTAAGTGGAAGAGTGATCGGGGGAGAAGGGCCTTAGTCAGGGAGGTGATCAATAACCTGATAGTCACTCTGTCTGAGCTTCAGCGATCTTCTGTGGAGGAAGGACAACCTACAGAAGGACAACCATCTGTGCAGCAAACCACCAATCAGGTCTGTATAGTAGAGTGGCCAGACAGAAGCCACTTCCCTGGAAATCTCTGGTCCAATGAGGCTAAAATTGAACTCATTGGAGGGAATGACAGGCGTTACATTTGGAGGAAACAAGGCACCGCTCATCACCAGGCTAATACCATCCCTACAGTGAAGCATGGTGGTGGCAGCATCACGCTGTGGGGATGTTTTTCATCAGTAGGAACTTGAAGACTAGTTAGGATAGAGGAAAAGATGAATCCAGCAATGTACAGAGACATCCTGGATGAAAACCAGCTACAGAAGGCTCTTGACCTCAGACATGGGTGACGGTTCATCTTCCAGCAGGACAATGACCCAAAGCACACGGCCAAAATATCAATGAAGTGGCTTCACAACTCCGTGAATGTCCTTGAGTGGCCCAGCCAGAGCCCAGGCCTAAATCCTATTGAACATCTCTGTAGAGATCTGAAAATGGCTCTACACCGTCACTTCCCATCCAACCTGATAGAACTTGAGAGGTACTGCAAAGAGGAATGGGCAAAAATGCTTAAAGACAGGTGTGCCAAGCTTGTGGCCTTATATTCAAAACGACTTGAGGCTTTAATTTGCTGCCAAAGGTGCATCAACAAAGTATTGAACAAAGGCTGTGAATACTTATGTACGTGTGTTTTTAATTTTATTTTTATTTTTTCACATTGTCATCATGGGGTATTGTGTGTAGAGTTTTGTGGAACTAAATTAATTAAATCCATTTTGTTATAAAACTGTAAATTCACCAGATGATTTTAATAGCTCTATTTGGAAGGAGTTC